GGCGATTGGAAAATTTTAAGTATGTTTCTTGGTTCGTTTGATGTAGTTGTAATTGAAGAAATAAATAGTTGGTCGATTGTCGATGGAATAACGAAGATCCCTTATGAATTTTGTTCTTCGACGCGTACGAGTTTTTCAACGAATTTTATTCTTTTAGTATTAACTAATATTTAGAATTAATATTTAGAATTGAACGACGAAAATTCAAGAAACCCTAGAAAATTATCAAAAATATTGTCTTTACGCTGTAAGATGTGATCAATTTACATGATTTTTTTTTCTTTCTTTTACAAAGTTATCAATTACTTACAAAGTCATGCTTTCTTAATTGTAATTCAATATTGAGGAAGCTATACAAAAATCGAACCGAATTCCAATTAATGTCTTCGATTCGAAATTATTCAACGCAGTGGCGTGGAAAGTGCCGGAGCTACGTCGAGGACCTAAATGGCCTTGAACGTGCAGGGGAAACACGTGAAAGCGAGTATACGAAGAAACGTTGAAGAATTGTAACTATCGAGCGTCGTATTTCCTTTCCCTTCCCTGGAAACATTTTTAAAAGATTCATGGCTCGAAGGGCGAGGGAAGTTCGATCGCATCGTAACTCGGATGGTTCGATCGGGTGACACACGCGAGACATTGATAACATGCTTGTTAATAAAATAAAAAAGAGAAGAAAGAAAGAAAGAAGGACGATTAAACCATTTCGGTTTTCACGAGGAGATAATATTAATTAATTATTTTTTAACACGAGAATCGTCTCTTGTTGATCAGTGTTGTTTGAACAGTTGCGAGTAGGAAAGTAAGTTTTTGTGGTGAATGAGAAAAAAATTATGAAAGTAGGACGATGAATGACGTGTGATGAAAAAAAAAAAAAAAAAAAAAAAAACAAAAAATGACTCTCGTTTGTTTCGATCAAATTGTTGAATAACATCGAACTTTCGACGTCGAATTTAATTCTTACGTGGAGTTTTTCATCGCCGGAGTATGTATTTCAAATTGGTAGATAGAAATCAATCTTTTTAAAAATTATCATGAGACAATTAATCTAGTAGATTTATTAGTTTAATTTCGAATCTTTAATTGTTCATTTTAAACGTTATATTTAATATTTATATTACATAGGAACTATTATTTATTATAAATTATATAATAAATGAAATTATTAGTTTTAAATTATTCACTTGCAGATTTAAGACTACATAATAGTAATAATAAAGGATTGCATAAATAATGATACATCAATACGTAATAAAATTTCTTAATTTAGAATTAGACAGGAGTGTTCGTGATCCACTTAAGGGTTAAACTCGACTCTCAAATCGTCTAAGTCGATAAGATAAATTTATTTGTCAATTTTTTCTCTCACCTAGAATCACCATTTGTTTTAGTTGAGATATTTTATCACTCGTCATTCAAGTGTAATCGTTCTGGCAATCGAAACGTGTCAAGGTGTAGAACAAGCGGTCGAAAATAGGATCCTGTGATAAAATTAAGTGAAAAAAAAAAAATGGCAAAATAAATGTGTAATAAAAAAGTTAAAAAAAAATAAATAAATAAACAAGTAACATTGGCCGCCAGTCACACTGTGACGTTGTCGAGCCTAAAACAAGAGGGCGAAATGGACATGTTCTATGCAAATCTAGTGAAAATATTCAAATAAATATTATGAATAATTATTTGTAATTATATTATTATTATTATTATTATATATTATTATAATTATTATAATTATTGCAAAGTGAAAATTAATATAAAAATTATGCGTTGCGTTCGGGACAAGTGGTAAAAAAAAAAAAAAAAAAAAA